AGCTATAACAAATATATAATATTTTACGTGTTTACGCGGTCAACTTACTATACAAATCGTGTGGGTTGATGAAATTGACGTTGAGCTGGTGGTTGACGTTGAGCTGGGTAGGGCCTAGTTCGGAAGAACTAGGCACGTGGGGCGAGTAGCATGGGAAAAAAAAAAGAGATCACATGACAAGCCACATTCGCAATCCTCCTTGCTTCCATAACGTTTCCTTTGTTTTTCCAAAGGAACACATGCATACAAAAAAACGCACAAACGGCACTTTCCATGCTTTACATACTCGCCAAGCCACCATGTATGTCAAACTTACGCCATGGCTTTCCCGAAAAAGAAAAAAGAAGAAAGGAAGGAATGGGGGGGAAGGGGGGGGAAGAAAAAGCCATGCAAGCAAACGAAAAGCACAGCACACCGATGATACTGGGGTTAGGTTACGGTAAGGCAAGTAATAGTAGCGCAACATTTCGGCTCTGTGCCGCTTTTTTTTCTTTTTTTTTTTTGCAAAAACGGCATGCCGCGCCCGCGCCCGCGCTCGTGCCCGTCATCACACACATACACACTTACTTTACATATACATATACACAAAAGTCCCAAGCCGCCGCCCCCGCGGGCGCCCGCGTGCGCACACACACGCAGCGGTGCGATGCACGCCCGGCGCCCGTCATTCCCGCGTCTCCGATTTCTTTTGACCCAAATTCTTTTTTTATCTTTTTTAATTTTTTGAGACATCCCCTCTTTATCCCCCCTCCTCCCCTTTTATTTGTTCTTGGGTGTGTATCTTCGCCAATCTGAACTGTTTTTTTGGGAGGGGGAGAGAGGCTTGTTCCCGCTGCCGCGGCGGCAACGCGGCAATGCGGCGGTGACGACGACGACGACGACGACGGACGGGTCGGCTTTTGCCTCATCAGTGTGCGATGGGGTGGGACGTGTGTACGATATGTTGCGTCAGTTTAAGTTATTTCGCTTGCTTGCCTGCCTGTCTTGCAGCTTTTGCTTGGTGGGTGACATTCCGAGATCCCCTTCCTCCCCCCACTCACCATCTTACGGCAGATGCTGGGCCGTTGATTATCATTTTTTGATTCGTGGTGTTGCCTTTTCTTGCCGAGTGTATATGGCATTGAGATCGGATTTGCGGCACAGGGTAGGCGAGGGAGGCGGAGTGGGGGTGTGGGATGGCGGACGGGTGGTGATACAACTGGGTTGAGATGGTTCTACGTACCGATTGAACTACTGCGGGTCTGCATGTCACCGATATGGATGTTTGGGGGGTTTTTACTTGCATGCCGTAGGCGCGGACGGCCGGCTATGTCGTTTGCCTCTTGATTTCTTTTTTGCTGTGTATACGGGAAGTTGGAGTCGCCCCCATCTTGTGCCTCGTATTTTTTTTTCTTGGAGTGGATGGTTGGGGGCGGAAGGGGGTAAATCTTGCTTGCACTGTCAGACAAGGTACGTACTGTAGGAAGCGGGGCTACAAGTCTATGAGTTACGTGGGTATGTGCTACGTACTTTTGATACGCTTGTGCTTGTCTTCCTTCCAAGTCGGCGGTCGACGATACTCACCGCTTGTCGCGGCATATAGGTACAGAAAAGGTAAAATCAAACTTGATAATAGCCTCTTGTTCCTTCGCCACTTTGACAAAGCAGTACACGTGCGGTTTTGCTGCCCACTTTAATTTCCACATGGACAGCATGGATGATGCTCCAGCGTAAGAGGAAGCGCCTATGTGTCAAGCAGTAGAGGGAGAGAAAAAAAAGACGCAACTACCTCAAACCAATTCGAGAGGGCCTTGCATGAACTAGAATTTCATCTGTATCGTAAGTTTTTGCTTTTTTTTCGTTTAACAGCGATTCGCGCAAGTCCGTTATTGGGTAGTGAGCAAAAGAAGCGACATGCATGTATGTCTGTGTGTGTGTGTGTTTTTGTGTGTGAAAAGCACGCAAGCACACCTACGCACACACACACACCTAACTCTAACACATGGTGGAGATACACGTGTACCTGGGTGTCGGGGTCACCTACATACAGCCCACCACACACTCGCATCGAAAACGGGCCAGCATGCAGGTGTGTGGTGGCAAATAAATGTAGGCAGTACGGCCCAAAGGCAAAGACTGGTAGCGGATGCAACCAAAGTAGTCCACATATGCTGCTGCGCGCGCGCCGTCCTCCGAGTAATGGCGCAACCTGTTTGACTTGCAGGCAGCGATCGCATGAGGCGTTACGAGCGGCTTTTGTGACAAAATAAAATCCCTACGTGTGCATGCAGTTACGACGTACGGTAACGAAAGGGGAGAGGGGCGGAGGGCTATTGGGGGGTGGAGGGGTGTGTGTGTGTGTTGCTGCACGAGATCCAAAACGCTTCTGCAACCTTATTCTTTCATACATGTTCTTTACTCGCCTAGCTGTTTTCGCCTTTTCTTTTTTTATACAGGGAAGAGGGCGAAAACGGCTGCAGATAACGAAGGGGGATGCGACAATGCGGAAAGATTAAAAGCAAGACGATCAAAAAGTAAAGCAAAGAGGTGAGAGTGTTCGTGGTGCGTCATCAGACACCACTTTGCTCTGGTCGCAGCCAAAGCAAACATGACGAGCAGGTGCGGCGCACTGGGCCCCCCGTCGGCGGGGGGGCGGTTAGGCGGAAGGGAAGGCAACGGTTCGGAACGTGCGTTGCGCCCAAACAGTCGTCCCAAAAACTTACCATGCTTACTTGGTGCTCTTGCGTCTTCTTCTTTTTTTTTTTCTCCATTATTTCTTTCCGCCCTCAGCAACCAAAGGATACGAGCTGCATGAAACAAGAAAAAAAAGGCTTAGTCCTTTGACCCTGCTTTTCAAACCCGACTAGGTTCTTTGCAAGTGGTGTGTGTGTGGGTGTGATTGTCTAGAACATGGGGAAACTAGAGTGCACATGCGCACACATCCCCCCGCCTGGTCATCACGCATGCAAGACACACACACCCTCTTCTAACACACACACACACACACACACACACACACACACACATCCCTCCTTCCAAGCCCCCCAAAACCCGTATCTTGCGACAATAGAACATACATGTACTAGACGCCTCCAAAATAAAATTAAAGCCAAAGGAAGAATAACACCAAGTCCAAAAACTTGACACATGTCCCGCCTTACAACAACAACAAATAATCTAAGCACCATTGATTCGGCATTTGCGGCTTAGCCTCCAACCTTATTGCTGATATCCCCTTCCATGTAAACGCCCGCCCCCCGTTCTGCGAGTAAGATTGGCCAAAAGGGCGAAGATTGGCAGATATTTTTTGTGTGTGTGTGTGTGTGTGTGTGTGTGTGTGTGAGAATGATTCGCAGCTGGCCTTACACCATGACCCTGCCCAACAATCTCCCCCCCCTCCCTTCTATCTCGGCAAAAACACGGTTTGCCCGCGTTTCCCCGTTTCGTTCCCGCCCCCCCTTGATTCTTTAATAATAATAGTTAATCATTACTTACACATATAATTCGATATTTTATCTCTTCTCTCCAAATCTTGCGCTCCCCCCCAAGCCACGCCCCAAATCTCACTCAAGCGCTGAATTTTGTTGTGTGAAGTTAAAATATACGAAACAGTAATAGTCACATGATGACAATGATGATGATGATGATGATGTGCCCACATGCGGGTTTTCCCTTGGCGATTTAAGACACATGCACACATGCGCACACACCCCTTACCCCAGTCCCTCCCCCAGAACCATGTGCTGACATGCATGAGTTGAATTGTGTTATGCTGCATGGCTTGCATGGTTGGGCATTCATTCATTCAGAGGGGCAAAAAAATCTCCCTCTGTACTTATTAACCATAGGGCAAAAAACATGAACAAGAAGAAAGGGAGGCTAGACAGGGGGGATCCCGTCTGTCACTGTCTCTCGCTCTTTTTCTTGGCCCGCATCTTTAGAGAGTTTGCGCTTTTCGCATGCAAGGCGAAGGAAAGATGCGTCCGACCCGGTGGTTTGGGTCAGCGGCGTTTTTTTGTCTTTAGAGGTAAGAAGAGAGAAGGAAGGAGGAGAGGGTGAGAAAAAAAGGTTAATGCTGTGATACGAGAGAAGAGTGTGTGTGTGTGTGTGTGTGTGAAAGAGAAAGCGATGAAAGTAGAAAAGAAAAGAAAAAAAGGTGGGTAGTTTGGGGGCGAGGAGGAGGCGGTTTGCACTGCTGGTGAAATGTACAGTACATACGACGCAAGCGCCGTGCGTTGTGCAGTTGGGGTCCGAACGGACATTTTGGCGGTTACTGAGGGTTGCAGCGCGCCCATCCTTTTTTCTTGGTGTGGGTGCGTGCATCGTTCGTTGGAAAACAATAGTGCTTCTTTGGCCTACTTAGTTGCGACTTGGCAAAAAGTTATTGACGGTGGTCTCCGTCAGCAATCGAGTCCAGAAGCATTCAACGTTGCATTATCCTTTTTCCCTTCTTTTGTTCTCCCTACGTGTTGTGTGCGTGTCCAAAGACATGGTTAGCATCAGACGTGGCAATGCGCGTACTTACTGACGATTGAAGGATTCTCAGCATGTCGATGTGTGCGTGTGTGACCATGTTTGCTGACGTTTTCTCCTGCAGCGAGATTCAAATCTGCTACTTTACATGTATATCAAATGTGCAGATAATCACACCCGGCATGACTCGATACCGCCGTACGTTTTGAGGAAAAAAAGAAACAAACAGATAAAAGATACGATTCAAAAGAACCATATACAACAAACACCAGACTCTACGTATAGATTGACATGCTATAAAAGAGACAATCTATAACGCGGGTCATAGTCAATACCTCATGAAAACTGCATGGTCTGTTTTGGCGGTTGTACCTTCTCATCCGAAAACTTTTCGGTCAAACAAGACACTCAGCCGCCATATACACCGTAGCGTAGCTTGTCGCAAAGTCACAGGAGAGTTGCGCTTATGCACGTATGCAATAGAGGGGACAAAAAAGAAGATGGGGGGAACAGGAAGGATGCGGGTATCGGCCCCGCCAGCCTGAGAGATTCTTCAAGGTATTATTTTAGGGGTCCTAAAAATCAACTGGGTTAACTGCATTGCATTGCATTGCAGCGCATCTCGGATGTGCTGGAAAGTCACTTCCGTTCTGTTTGTAGATGCATCAAAGTATTTGTGCATCTGTGTGTGTTTCTTCCTTTCTTTTGCCTCAAAATTGTTTGCAGCTGAACAAAAAAAGCCCCGAGTGTGATTGTCGCGATTGGCAAGGGTTCCATATATGCGGGTTTCCATCGCGGTTATAGAACCGATGCCGTGCGACATTCCGTAACTTTGCGCGAGAGGCCGTGTCACCCACCCCTGCCATTCATCTTACAAGGTCCTTGACTCATGTGCAGATCTGATCGATCAATAGCGTTCTGGCCCTTGGATCAACATGGCAAAAGAGCCGTGCAGCCAAAGCAAATATCGCGTGCAGGCGGAGCAGCGCGTGACGGGCGAGCAATCCACTGACAAACGACACTGGCGCAGGCCGTGTGGAGAGAAGTCGAATGGTGATCATGGAAGCAATGCAGGGTGCATATACAGATATATACACGTGTCGAAAGTGGGCTGTCTGTGCGGATGTGATTTGCCGTCGGCCAGGAGCGACAAAACCATAGGGAGGTCACATATGTACGTACATGACAAAATACCAGACGGTGCGAGTCAACACCAAAAACAAAACCATGAGCTGCATAAGCTGTACTTTGCGATAAGGCAGGTCAACCGTCTGACGCCCTGTAAAGTCATCATGGGGCCATCGGTCCACCTCCATAACATGTTGCGTCGTCGCGGAGGTGAAGCGTGGAAGAAAAAAAAAGCACATCGGCAGTTGTCCGAGAGCGTTTAGAGGGCATTGTGGTGCAAACCGAGCACACACCAATTCAGCATCCCCCCGTATGTCTCGCTGATCGGGCCGACGTCAGCAACCTGAGTTGGGGCAATTGAAGCGGGTAAAACAAAAGGATATGTAAGCAGGAAGGAGACATAAGCCGGGACCGCTGCGACACATACGGTCTTACAGCCCTGTGAACCCACGGCAGAGGTAAACGGTAAGATTGGCCCGGAGATCCTACTCCAGGTTTCTACTTGATTGGGCAAGTCACTAAACCGGGTTGCAGCGTGTCATCAACCCAACCCCAGTGCATCATTTACATACCCAGCGCGGCTCTTTCTCCTGTCCTGTTATCATGCAGAATTGCGGAATAATAAGCGGTTGGTGCGCGTCGATATCTACACACGTACACTGGGCTATATCCTAGTTGGAACATGACCCTGCATCCCTGATGACAGTGTTCCACATTGCACTACTACTATCCTAGTAAGACAATGGTTAAAGGAAGAGAGGCATGAAGAAAAAAGAAAAAGGGGACCGAAAAAAGGAAAATAGATGCTCACACAAGCATTGCGAGTCAGGGCCAAACCGATAGCGGGATAGGTAGCGAGGGCGGAAGACGGAAGGCGGAAGTATGACGGCGAGAAAATGATGTGTTTGGAGAGATGGCGGTGAAATGGCGGTTACGTGCGCTGCTCGGGGGCTCGGTTAGTCTAATGCTAAGGCCCGATGACGAGGGTTCGATCAGCGGAGGCATGTCGTGCATGGGCCGTAGCGGTACGTTAACGAGCCCACAAGTCCAGAGTCAGAGTCCAGAGCGTAAGCAGGATCGCGTTACGCACGTGAGATGGCATACGTCTTCCCGTTCCGTCATCTGGTATAGGGCTATTTAGAGGGGTCATGGAGAAGTCCGTAGTACTATTTGCACGAGTTTGGACCTTACGAAGAGTTCTCCCCCTTCTCCAACGCAAGTGCCCCCAAGGCGCACAAGGCACAACATGGCCTAATCAAGGAGCAGGGTGGATGTTGGAAAATATGTAATGAGTTGACGCGTGCTAACCCCCTGTAGACTAAAGTGACAGTGTATGAAGGCGTCGCAGGTTTCAATGTGTGCGCGTGCTGTCAGTCATTAGCACGACGGTAGCATGTACATAGATAATCGATATTGAGTGCAGCCACGGCCCAGGAGAGGGTGCAAGTGCAGTTTCGAGGATACGAATGCGAACCAGGGCTTTTGCAGAGCTGACACGTTGGACTGGGATTGCTGGGACGGCAAAGTTGTCATTGTCATTCGGACCGTTTGTCGACAGACAGAGTTGGAGCTACCAGGGCTACTATGGCTGTGGGCTGAGATCCATTGCTATGAGTTGCAACTACGACGATGTTGGTCGTAGTTTGCGACAGGGATGTGCAGCCAGTAGACAGGACGAACGGAGATTTGTTGAAGGGTGATGCTAGCAGCATGGAGCGAGTGGTGCTGATCTGATAATATTACCAGTCAAGATGCACGCAGGTCATTCATCGGCGAGCAGGGACGCTATGATAGCGCACTTAAAGTTCCGGTCTGGCCATCGAATGAGCCGAGCAACAGACGCCCCACCGTCTGACGGACCACCCCGGAGTAGCCTCCGACGGGTACACTTGGGACGTCGTTGGCAGAGCATTAAGGTTTGACGAAGCATGCGCGCTTGGCCGGTTTCCAACGGCATGGTCAGGTGGCTTCTGACCGCTCTGGTGGTGGTGGAGCGAGTTGGGTGTGTGTGTGCGTACTCTAGTTGCGGTGGAGCGACGTGGAGTGGGTGGAGGGAAGCATGGCGCATGTCCAGGCAGACAGACGTACTATGTAAGTAGTGATATTATGTATGTACGCACGTTATGCGCATGGTATACTGGAGCTGGGACCCTCGGCGGCAGGGTGACATGGATGGTGGCGATGGCGGCGATGGCGACGAGGTTGAGTGGTAAGATGATGAGATGGTGAAGTGGTGAAGTGGGGAGGAGGTGGGGGAAGAGGAGGGGGGGTGGCTTGTCTCTTCTGGAAGCGGCGCCAGAGTCGAGGGAGAGAGTCGAGTCAAGAGAGCCGCCGTGGCCGTGTGACCGAAAGGAGCAATGTCAGGGTGCGGTCAGGCGGGCTCCGGGCCCAAGACGGCATAGCGTCGAGTTGCACGAAGAACAGGTTGGTAAGGCATCAGAGGACGGACTAGGTAGGTCCAAGGAACCACAGCGGAACGTGTAGTAAGTAAGTGTATGCACCCACGCGCATACGACATCCCATATCTCCACAGACGACTGACTTGTCGCGCACTAAGCCTCGCGGGCCTGTCCATGTCGGCATGTGTGTGTGTTTGCGAGCGGGAGAGGAGCCAGTGAGCCGCAAACTCTGACCGGACGTCGTCGGGGCAGGGCGACGGGCGACGGGCGACGGGAGAGGCCAATGGCCTAAACCCAGACAGAAACAGTCAGTGAAGCCGTTGGTAGCGTGCCTCTGCCTCACTTGGCACTCGCCTGGCCCGATGCGTTCACTGTCATGCTCGATTCAGAGTTTACCCTCTGCCAACGTACGAGTAAGAATAGTCGCCGTCCTTGCTAGCTCTGCATTGCCTCGCCGTCTGTCACGCAACCCACGTCTTCACCACCCTCATTGGCACCCTCTCTCGCCTTGCCGCCACAACCGAACTTCTGCGTCAACCATTGCTTCCACGCCAAGACCCGCACCGCACAGATGACTTTGTCCATGACAGACGCTTCTCAGGGGTTGCTTGCCAGCTCCCGTCCTCCAACCACGCCCTCTCCAGGCACCAACCACCATGCACATGCAATCCAGGCACAATCAAAATCCACTCTACACAGTAGTAATAGCAACAACAAATCGTGTACAATTCTTTCTTCTCTCTTCTCTCTGATGATATGATGATGATATGATGCCAACATTGCCTGTGGAGGCCTGATAATCTAGATGCACTCTTGTAGTCGTTCCATAATGCAACAAGTCTGAGAAGATATTCAAAAAAAGAAAACATGGTGGTGAGAAGACCAATGGGTATAACGCAGATTAACGCTTGCAAAATTCCACAAGCTTGAAACAACCACCCATGCGACAACAAACAGCCGCCTGCTATTCGCTCTGTTTGATTACTGCGCTCGTCCCTTGGTCTGTTCAGACGCCCACGCGCGATGCTCATATCGACCCGCCTCTGCGCCAAACGAATCCCGGTACAGCGGCCGTTCTGGCGACGGGTGCTGAAGACCGCCTGCCTGACCTGGCTGCCCTTGGGGCGATGCGTGCACCTGAGAATTTGGTCCTGATGCGTGAGTCGTCGGCCCATATCCCCCTAGCGGATATGCCCGACTGTCGTGGCTGGGCGAGGGTCCATCAATTTGGTGAGAGCCTAGTGCCGGGTGGTAGCTGTTTGTCCTCCTTCGCACGTTGCGCTGCTCCTCTTCTCGGGCCTCGTCCTCGTATCCGTCAAAAGACGCCTCGGAGCCATGTCCGGTCGTGCAAGACGGAGCTCGCGATGGATCCGCTGATGCGCGTCTCAGCCTAGGCGACTGAGGCCGGGCATGGTTCCTCTCGGGGTGCGACTGCAATGCCAATGACCTCCAGTAATCTCGCTCTTCACGGTAAAAGGCTGCATCTTCGTTGGCGTCACGCACGCTTTGCTCCAGCCTTGAGATGCTCATCGAAGCCTCTCGTTCCTTCTCTTTTCGTCGGGCTCGGAAGCGAGCAGACGCACCGGCATTGCGCCTTCTCTTTTCGTCAGCGCCCTTGGACGCAGTCTGTGTTTCTACGGGGATTTGGCGAGGTGGCCCGTGCTGACTCTTGATGGTCATGAGCTGTATGCTGCTCTGGCTTGAAGGCGCCATTGCAATCATGCTCGTGCGGTCGCCATCAATCGAGGAGCCTTGGCGAGCATCGTGCATGACAATGCTTCCAGGACCATATTGTCCCTGGGTGCTGTGGTTGTCGTATTGGGTAGACGCTACTGAAGCCGGCTGGCTATATGGAGAGTACTGGGCAATGGGGCTCGCACTGCCCGACTGAGGAAAGTTTACATTGGGTCGATGTACGTCCGCCCGGCCCACGTTCGGGGGTGGGGTTGGAGCCGTGGGTGGGAAGTAGTGGGTTCGACCTGCGGCAGGTGGTGTAGGTAGGGCCGAGTGCTGCGGTGTCACCACCTCGGACGGACGTGTGCTTGCCGTCAAGAAGGGTGACTGGTGGGCATCTATAGTGCCGGTAGGGGGATTGAGTCTGCTAATGGTGTGGTTCTTGATGCCTTTGTCATGCAGCGAGGGCCGCATAGGAGGTCTTCCTGGTGGCTGGAATAGCCTAGGGAGGTTTTGCTCTTCCCGGGCAGACAATACTGAGTCGACACTATTCGGTCGGCTGATCGAGGGCAGACTCTGTGAGTGATGCGTGTCGACGGGAGAGGACGATTCCAAGCGAGAAAGGCTACGTCTTGAGCCTTGTTGCTGCTGCTGCTCAGCCACTTCGGCTTGAGGGTTGAGGATCGAGTGGACGCCAAGTGAGCTGCCATTCCTGCCAGATGGGGTGGGTGGTGTCATGGAAAGCTGACGCAGCGGCGGGAGTGAGACGGGAGGATTGGCTGGAGGCTCCCGTGGGCTCCTATATGGAGGATGCATTGGTGGGTACGACTGGACGGGCGACATGTGTGGGGTGGTTGTTTGCTGGGTCCTTTGTGCTTCAGCGGGTAGACTCGACGTAGTATAAACGTCGTCACAGCCCCCTTGGCCACCCCGCGGCAACCATGAGCGTTCCGACTTGATGTCGTTGGTGTATGGGGGAGTCAACGAGGACTGGAAGCGGCGGGGGAAGAGAGGATGAGGGGCCTCGATAGCGGGAAGAGTTTGGGTAGCCAGCGTGACGACAGGACGAATTGGGTCGCCGTGTAGACAACCCAGAGACCAATTGTCGAGCTGAGGATGAAAGGATGGGTGGATGGATGGAGGGAAGAATGGAGTGGAGGTGAGAAGAGGACTCTAGGATGTAGGATGTTGGAGCACTAGTTGGAGTGACAATGGGAGACGGGCACTGCAAACGAGGCGAGCGACTCAGGATTTCCTAGTAGGGCAGTTGCAAGTTGGAGCAGGGTGGGGCAGGTGACCAGGCTCTGCTGGGGGGCAGGGCGATATCAGGGCTGCAGGAACAGGGCGTGAGTGGCAGAGGTGAGTGTGTAGTGGTGGTAGTAGAGGGGATGTGGGCAGTGAAGCGCTGGAAGCGATGGGAGGGGGGGGTTGAGGGCGCGGGAGCAGTCCATGTATGTAGTATATATGGGGAATTGGAGGTGACGGTGACGGGCGGTCGCAATCGGGCGGGCGTGGGTCGGCGGGCCTGGGCCGGGAGGGATATAGGATCGAGTATGGACTAGGAGGTTGCGGTGTAATGGTCGGGGGATCGCTGGGCGGCAGCAAACCATGGAGGGATGGATGCCATGTTGCGCCAGACCAAGGCGCGCGAGTGTGCAAGGGCTGCAACGACACCAAGGGCAGCAACGCGACCAAGGGCTTTTTTGGCGACGCACTAGACAGGCCCCACTCACCCCCTTTGGGCAGTCATGGGCAGGGATACGGGGCAGTGTGGGCAGTGTGGGCATAGACATGGATACGCTGGCAGGGCCGAGTGCGTGCATCGTGTGCGGTCGGGCACGCACGTCCAAGGGCTGGTGCAGCAGCTGGCCAGGATGCGCGGAAGCGGACGACACGCGCCAGCTACTCCTGGAGCAACGTCGACGTCGACGCCAGACGCCGCCAGCCCTGCAGCCGAAGGCACTGGCCTGCGGGAGTGATTCCGGTCCACGTCTAGTCCTGTCATGGCCGCCTAGGGCCGGTCAAGACAGCGGGCGGGGGACAGCGCCCATTGCCCACTCTCTGCCCGGGCTGCACGCACGCCTGCACGCCTGCACACCTGCACCGCCCTTTCTTTTTTTATGCATCTGAGCGCCTCATTGGCAGCTCCCCGGCGAGGCCAAAATGCCCGAAACGATGCTCTGTGCCACGTATGTATGTATGTATGGAGGCAAGTCTGTATGTATGTATGTATCTAATAAGTAGACCACACCCACACACACACACCCAACTAACTCGCCTGCGTCCGGCGGTGTAAGTATCTATGTACGTCCCATACTACTACGACTACTCCCCATCTACCTAGTACCTACTTGCCTACACATGCACTTGCATGTCTGCCTGCCTGCGTCTTCATCTAAGCGTCTTGCGGCTGATTGCATCATATCGTCCCAAGTCATGTCATTTCATCTCGTCTCGTCTCATCTCAGCTCAGTTCAGCTCCTCGCCGTGCACACACACACTCTCTCTCTCTCTCTCTTGGATAGTCCACCCACCACGGCTTGCAAACACGCGGTACCGGACTCGGCCACATCACTAACGTCTCGGGACGGTCAGCGGCGGCAACGCCCCGTCTGGCTGGGCAAGGCAAGAGAGATTACTAGTATACTACTGCATGCACGCTATCCTGCACGCCTAGCAAAACGTGCTCGCGCGGTCCGTGCTCGCCGTGTGGAGGCTACAGGCTAGAGGGGCTTGCTCATCCTGATCCTATACTTGATCCCCCATCACGTGGGGGTCAGCACCAGCCCTCCATCGCACATGATACGCAGCCTTCTGAAACGCCATCGTATCACTGATGCCATTGCCTGCTCCTTCTCGCCCGTGTGATTGCAACGCCCAACACCTGACCACCATGCACCTCATGGCCCCCCGCATGCCTTGCGCTTCTGCGCGCACGCACACGGGATACACGGCCACTCCCAACCAAGTACGTAACTATACACTCAACACACGCCTGTGCACCTCTCCCTCGCTCGCTCCTCGGACACCTGTAGCCACTGACATACAGCAACACCGCCCTGCACCGGTGCCACCAGCGCACTGTCAAACCTTCGGATCGCCTGCCCATCGATGCGAGCTGACCCGCGTGCTGGTGGGGAGCTGTTCCGCCAAGGCCCCGGCCCTAAACCAGCATAGCGCGGATCCACGGCCCTGGGTTGCACTGCGCCATTGAGGAAACTCTGCCATCGGTTGGCCGGTCTTCTCCACCAGTTTCCGGTTCCACTCTGTCGGTTACGCTGCCAAGTCGGTGATCCAGGGGGATGCTGCCACATTCCCACAAGCTTCTTCGAGCACGTCATCGGCGTCTTGTCCATGACCCTCTCCTCATCCCGCCCAAGACACAAATCTCTTCACCCCCTCCACGCCATTCCGTCTTGTCATGGGTTCTCTTTTCATCTTGGCCCACCTCGATCTGCTTGCGCCTTGTTCCCTGCCCCTCGCCCTGTTCTTACCCTCGCTCCTCGCTCCTCGTCTTGCCCTACTGCTGCTACTTTATGCCCTTGCTCCTGGGTTAGCACGCGATACCCTTGTTCGTAATCGCCGGCCATACTTGTCTCGCCGGCCATACCACGGTCACCCATGCCGACTCGTCAAGAACAAAGAGTGTCTCATCCCGATCTAGGGCGGCCATCCAAAGGGATGCTCTCTGTCGTAGCGTCTGATGGTCCATGTGCATGCCCAAAATGCCAAGACGCCCTATTCCCCAAAGAATGCACGGGCCATCTACAGTTTGTTCGCTGCGATTACAATTCTCCGTCGCTCTTTAGACTCAACGCCTAGTGCACCTCGTCCTTTCGTACTTACTTACTCTACTTAGTGCTGCGGGAACAAACAGTACACCTAACTCGCGCCAAAGTTTCCTCCGCCTCAGCCCGGGCCAGATGTTCCACCATCCGCCCTATCGTCTGAACTTAATCAACAGCCCGCCTTGTGCCTCTCCATCCTGGCCGTTTCACAATATGCGCATATCACGCTTGCCATTGGCCACAGTGCAATATACTCTACTTTATAGCGCAAACCTCAAGGCTGAAATGAAGTCTATTCAGAGGACATTCCCGCCGCTAATCCAATGTCCGCAAATCATTACATCAGTGTAATTTTATAACAACACCCACCCTTCACCTCAGCGCCAAACACATGCACAGTGATGGTT